AAATAGCCATCGATGTAAGTTGCATGTGTTTCACAACTTTGACTCAGAAATCAACGTTTTTGCACTGTTTAGAAAGCAAAGTTGCATGTGGTTTTTGATGAAAACCCAGATATGTTACTGTAGACACACTTTTTGCACTGTTGATTTCATAAAGTTACCTAATTTTTTCAGTAAAGTTTTTTTCCACCAAACAATTTTTTTTTACATTTTTCTACCTATCTCACTTTATCTATCTTTCCAATCATTTCTCTATCTATTACATTTCCTTACTATTCCAAAAATTTGTCCTCAACCAAATGTTACGGGCTTTGTATCTTTGCTGTGAATGTAAAATTTTATCTTCTGCGGGTAAAATAAAATTATGGTGAATTCCATCATATTTAAATTTTTATTTATTTTTTCTGCAATCAATATAAAGTCCAAAACGATATCATTTTGTGATAGAAATAAAGATATTTTTGTAATTATAATTTTTTTCATGATTTTAATAGTTTTTTCATTATAATTTTTTAATCTTGCAATCCAAAACAACGTTATTTTGAGAGTAAATATAGATAACTTATCTATCTTCATTATAAAAAACATTAAAATCTTAAAAAAAAAAATAAGTGAAATTTTTTCTTGAATCTGTCGCATGCGGAGGAAATATCTGCAGTGTTTTCCTATCTTTTATATCTACTTCTTCGTTAAAATGTAAGTAAATGTGATTTATGTGTCGTGAGTAATAAGAAAATGATAAAATAAATACAATTGAATTAGTTATATTTTCTAACCTTAATAGGTAAATGCGCCCAAAGTCTAGTGGCAGTACGTCGTTATCCCAATCGATGGGCGATGGCAAAAGGAAAGTGAATTCATTGGTTTTTTTTTTTTTTACCTAATATTTCAACCTTATGTTCGTCGTAGACTGGTAGTAGTATTCTTAAACTGATGGAATAGATTAAACATCTTTAACTAGTACTTGTTCAATTATGTAATAAATATTGATTTTTACTCTTGAAAGTAGCTGTCATCAATTTGTTGAAGAAGTCATCAATTAGTTGAATAATCTTAATGATTTACCTTCAGTAAAATATTTTTTAAAAATATTACTGACAATAAATACATCAGAATTCAGTCTTCACAAAATTTTGTACTGAAGAATGTGAATAAATTAAAAAAAATAACAAGAAAGATAAGGCAAAAAAATTAAAATAATACATTTAAATTAAATAATTATGCATTTAATACTGTTTTGTAAAAAATTACACATCTGTTGCACAACGATACGCCCCTTTGAGCATCACATGTGACGCCCAAGTGAGGCGTCTCTCCCTTGGAGAAGACGCCCCATTGGGGCATCTCATGTGCAACCTATATATACCTCACTTTCCTTTTTTCACTCCTTACTCTCTAACCTCTCTCTAACCACGGTTCGTAGCGAAGCTCTACCAACGTAGGTAAGATCATAATACCTCATATGTATATATTTAAATTACAGTGTTAGTTAGTAATACATGTTATGATTGATTGTATATTAGAGACTTAGAACAATAAGATAGTCACTTAGAAATTTTGCGGCATGCTATGAATGTTGTAATGATATAGTAATTTTATTATTACGTAGTTATTATTATTAATTTTTAATTATGCATTAGGGTTTAGCATATTAATTTTTTTTATTTTTTTTTGATAACATTAGCATATTAATTAGTGATTTATAAATAGTGTTAGGAACTTCGTAAATTTTGTATGTATGATGTTATTAATGCGGGAGTGCATAACTCTGTAGTTAGGTTTTTTTTTTTTTTTTGGTGAAAACTTTAGTTAGGTGTAATGATTAGTACGTATTGGACAAGTTGGTAGTGACCTAGGGTTAAGTATTCAGTTAGTATTATATTGTTTTTGTCCGATGTATTATTATTATTTAATTGCAAATAAATAACTGTTCTACGTTTTGGCGGGACTTCATAAATTTCGATTCTAGTTAAATAAATGACGCATATGCTTCATTTTTGTCATAATCAATTATGTCACTGCTTAATTAAATTGTAAATAAAATGGGGCATTACATGTGATTGATTTAAATGTTGTTTTATATTATATAGTTGAGGATAATGGTTGAGTCATCATCTTCATCGGGATCTGAGTCGGATGTAGAGCCCACCGATCCCAGCATGTGGATCATACCTGGGCCGTACAGGTGAGAGGTCCTTCGAAAGAGGACGCATAAAGCTCATATCTTCATTTCGAAACTTTTGATTGAAGTTGCTTGCAATATGACGAATACAGAAGACGTGATATGCATTTGGCGGCTGCCAATTAGAGTTATTTTCCACAGCAGATATTATGCTTCGATGCCGATCGGATATCAAACATATGTTTGACATGGTAGTAACATGAGCACGAATATTAACGAGAAAATAATCTCATGCTTCCAAAGTTTCGCCTTCTACGATGGCAAAAGCGATCGGTAAACATTCATTATTACCATCTTGGGCTATGACCACCAACAATTTCCCTTTGTACTTCCCATATAAATTTGTTCCATCAATTTGTATGACGGGTTTGGCAAATTTGAACGCCTCACAACACTATCTAAACATCCAAAAAATGTGATGAAAAACCTTTTTTCCAGAAACTAAGCTCTGCTCGGCATAAATATCATTTGTTTGTATATGATAAAATGAACGTGGAGAAAAGCGAAGCATGTATTTGCACCACCTTGGCAAAAAAGCATACGATACCTCCCAATCACCGTACATAATTGCCATCGCTTTCTGCTTCGCATACCACGCCATTCTGTGGGAAACTTGAAAGCCATATTTAGCAGTTATCCTTTCTTGCACCAAAGAGATTGACACAGATGGTTCTGACTTTATCATCCCTGCATAGAAGAGGATATTAGTGCCTCGATAACATCGAACGAATTTAATTACACAGTAGTACGTAAACATTGACATGTCAATACGGTAAATAAATACGTACCTATGACGAGATCTGCAATAACGTCCGCATCGAGCTGTCTATGACCCTGGGAAATGTGTTTATTAACACATTCGTGTTTTCCACCCCATCTCGTAATCTTCTAATTTTCACGAAACACCGGTTTGATCGCCCTTACGCGCCACGGACAACCTTGATCATACACACAACATTTCATGGACAACTTTACAAGCGTGCTCTCAATTACAATGGCTTCTTGATGCTCCCTAATGATGTTGTGCTTAAGTGCCATTTGGACATCTTTTTTTGTCGCAAATTCTTGATTGACAAATAACATGTCACCCAGTTGCCACGAACCTTGTATTGAAGCCGATCCAAAGACCGAACCATCAGTACATGATTCTTGTTCGCTCTGATAACTCCAATCAATGTAGGAATAATGCGGAATTCCTTCCCAAAAAAGAATAACATTTGTGTCACATGCAATTGCGGATTATAATTTTTTAATACAAACTTACTAATTCAGGTATTAAATCAGTTATATATTCAGCTATATACAAATGTGATCAATTACCTTCATGGTGAATACCGAACGGGGAAGACGCAACGTCATTCAACTGCTGCATTTGCGCGACGACTGGTTGATGGAATATTGGGATTTGAGACGCACCCATCTCACGGGATTCATCTCCTTCTGAAGCACTAGCATCCTCCGCCAGAAGACGTTCTTCCATTGCCATATTTTTATTGTCGTCATCGTTATCTTCGTCGTGCATTTCCCAAGTCGGATCATTTTCATCTCCCTCAGAAAAGTTACCAACCGGAGACGCATGAGCGGCAGGAGAAGCTAGAAGACGGGGAGAATTTAAATAAACTGACCTCACCGGTAAGGGAGCATTCTCGGTTGCGGCTATGCCGACTTACAACTCTATAAAATCTGTCATTGACTGGTTGCAAAATTATTCCATTGTCATCTCCAAGTCTTCATCGTCAAGCACTTTCAAACTAATGTATTTATCACCTTGCCACACCCTTGTCGTGGTCTCAGTGATACATTGGTTGTCTGGAAGACTTAACTTCTGCCGAATTCTCTGATGCAGTTCGCCAATGGTTGTGTTGCGTTGGATACGTGTCGGCCTTTTTTCACCTTTGAAGATAACACCTCGTTGACCTTCTACCTTCATACCATTGTTATATAACACAACATGAACAGAATCCGGATTTGATCTCATTTTTAAATAGAATAAGAAATAAAATTCAAATACTAAATTAAAGATAAAGGAATGTTGTTGGAGAAGATATATAAAGAGTGAGAGAAGAGGTGTGAATTGAATGGAGGGGGTGGGGAAATATATAGAACACACATGTGAAGCCACTTTTAGGCGTCACATTGTGGAGTAGATGTGTAATTTTTTACAAAACAACATTAAACGCGTAATTATTTAATTTAAATGCATTATTTTAATTTTTTTGCCAGAAAAATAAATATATAAAAACTGACGCATAAATATAACATTTTGATTTCAATACCAAAGAAATGATTTTAACATATAAATGCAGTATAAACCTGATTTGCTAGATTCGTATAATCAAAAAACGTAATTTTGCAACTCTCCTAACAAAAATTAAATATTTAACTTTTAGGGGTTAACAATTGATTAAAATAAATGATAATATAATTAAGGGTGCGTTTTTTATGCAGATAAGTTATCTGCAATAAGTCAATACGACGTCATTTTGGGACGAAAATCATAATATTTTTATAATTTTAATTTATTTCAAGGTTATTATAGTCTTTGTAATTATAATTTTCTAATATTTCAATTCCAAAATGATATCGTTTTGGAAGTATTAATTACAGAAATATTTTTTTGTATAATCAAATGAGCACATATTTTTTAATTTTATTAAAAATATTATGTTTCCAATTTTTTTTTTAATAATTTTCTCAAATAAAAAGATCTAATAATTTTCTTAATTTCTGTATAACACTTTAAATGATAATTATTTTAAAATAAATATTAATATGTGTTCTTGTTGGTGGTTGATAGCAGCTCGAAACTACCAGAGCTTTTGGTGTGCAGTTCGAGGAAATGACCAGAACGAAAGACAACCTTCCCCGCAAAAAACAAAGTGCCAAACAATCTTTCGAATACTGAGCTTGTGCGTACCTGATTGCGTCACCCATTCCTTCGTCACCGTTAATATTCGCAGTGATTCGCGCCCATTCTGAAACGGCGTCAACAATTTACGACGCATCTAGAAACAACCAAGCTGGCACAAGCTCCTACCTCACCATCACGCCACGTCGGCGACGGCGGTTAGGGTTCCGACGAGTATCCGTCCAAGGCTCTATGCTGAAACTTCGCAATCATTTGTTTCAGCTTGTCAGAGCAATTACTGAACCCGCCATCTCCGAGCCTTATCCTCGATTAATGAACATACCGCATTTTCAGAGCATTTAGTGTTTCTTTTCGATTATTATTATTATTTATTTTAGACACCATTGTGTGGTTCTTCCGAGGAATACGATGTCGTTTTTACGACGCAGAAAGGCCCCTGTGAATCCCGCGCCACGTGACTCGGATCACGAGGCGGAGGAGGAGGAGGAGAAGAAGGAGAAAAAGGGTAAGAAGGTAAAGTGGAAGAGTGGCGATGGCGAAAAGATAAAGAAATGGTCGTGCCTCGATAGCTGTTGTTGGTTCGTGGGATTCGTATGCTCAATTTGGTGGTTCTTGTTGTTTTTGTATAATGCAATGCCGGCGTCGTTCCCTCAGTACGTGGCGGAGGCAATTACAGGGCCGTTGCCGGACCCTCCCGGCGTCAAATTGAGGAAGGAGGGGTTGACGGTGAATCACCCGGTTGTTTTTGTGCCCGGTATTGTCACCGGTGGATTGGAACTCTGGGAGGGTCGTCAGTGTGCGGATGGATTGTTCAGGAAGAGGTTATGGGGCGGCACGTTTGGGGAATTATATAAAAGGTAACTTTTTTCCCCTTCTTTTTTGTAGTTTTAATTATGGATTTGATGTTGGATAGGGTATATATGGATTTTAATGTGTTTGAGTGGTTTGGTTGAATTTTGATATAGAGGAAATCACGTGGAATGCTTAAAACAGTGGTTCCTCAATGTGAAGAGCTATTAAAAATTTGTGTCTGTCTTGATTGGGAAGTAAGCAAGTGGCGTTTACAACTAGATAAAGTTGTGTTGTTAAATGAATTCAGTTAAATACCAACTGTCAGTATGACAGGGAGGGGGAAATGCATCCGGGGAGTAACTGGTACTGAGTTGGAATGAAACTCACATGGTGTCATTTATCAACTGTCATATTTCTCGCTGTTGAAAAGATTCGAGGCATGATTGAAACCTCCTTACTGGATTCTTTAAAATGCCAATGCTTTTGTTGGTGGATTCTTTTAAGTTACGACTCAAGAAGATATAGCAGAAAGCATTTAGCGATATTCTTTCTCAACCTTTCTTGTATTCTTCCGTCAAAATATACTGGTTTTTATTAAGAAGCATGATGACATAAATAACAATTTATAATCTACAGTTACCTTTTTGTCATGTTAGAATGACATTACTTGGCATTCATTCTAGGTTTGTACTTTGTATTTTTCCTCTATATTCTTGTAATAATATGTTCATTACTTGCTACAAGTCATTATGATTGTTTGATGACTCCGATAGAATTTATATGTAGTGGTGTTTTATGTTTTTTTTTTTTTTAAACCTTCTACAGACCATTATGCTGGGTTGAGCACATGTCACTGGATAATGAAACAGGACTAGACCGTCCAGGCATTAGAGTTAGGCCTGTATCGGGACTTGTAGCAGCTGATTATTTTGCACCTGGTTATTTTGTCTGGGCTGTTCTAATTGCTAATTTAGCCCGCATTGGGTATGAGGAGAAAAATATGTACATGGCTGCATATGATTGGAGAATCTCATTTCAGAATACAGAGGTAGTTCTCAGTTACTTTCAGAGATTTATGATTTTTTGCATTCCCCTGTATTGCTATTGTATGGTACACCCTCAGAAGGGCTTGTCTTTTTATGCTTCATTTGACCAGGTCAGGGATCGAGCTTTGAGCAGGATAAAGAATAATATAGAACTCATGGTGGCTACAAATGGTGGTAAAAAAGTGGTTGTTATTCCACATTCGATGGGTGTTCTGTACTTTCTGCATTTTATGAAATGGGTTGAGGCACCAGCACCAATGGGTGGAGGGGGTGGGTCAGATTGGTGTGCCAAGCATATTAAAGCAGTGATGAACATTGGAGGACCTTTTCTAGGTGTTCCAAAATCTGTTTCTGGACTTTTCTCTATAGAAGCTAGGGATATTGCTGTTGCCAGGTTTTTGTTTTAACGACAATAATTTGAATGCTTGGTACTGTATATATATATATATTATTAAATTTGAAAAAAAAAAATGTTTAATCTATTTCGCTTGCAAGTAGATTTTGGATGTTGTTTTGAAAATATTTAAATTTTATAATATATATCTTTAGGAAATGGTTGTGTAATTTCCATCCCTCTTGAAAGAACAATATGCCTTTATTTGAGTGTCTGTATTCTGTTGCCCCTTGAAAGCTTTCAAGTTTTCATTAATATTCTTCTTGATAAGTCAATTATATATAATTTTTATGAAAAACTACTTTGTTCCTTCATAAACTAATTTATAATGCTGTTGATCAGTCTCTATGATTTCCAAAATTGTGTTTCCTTGACATAAACAGGATTTTTTTTTTCTTGCAAGTGATGTTACATTAAAAATTTATGTAACTTTGATTAATGATATAGATATAATTATGAATCATCTTAACTGTAAATACATAATATATATATAGATGAAGAGTCCTTATTCATGAATCTCTAATCCCCATACAGGGCTTTCGCACCAGGCTTCTTGGATAAGGATTTATTTGGTCTTCAAACTTTAGAACACCTAATGCGGATGACCCGAACATGGGATTCAACTATGTCAATGATACCAAAAGGTGGGGATACTATATGGGGTGGCCTTGATTGGTCACCTGATGTATACTATAACTGTAGTGCAAAGAAGCACAGGAATAATGACACCTACAGTGCATTTCAAAATGACAAAGAGAATCTTGAGTTCATGAAAAATGCAAATTATGGAAGACTCATATCATTTGGGAAAGATATTGCTGAGTTACATTCCTCAAAGCTTGAGAGGTTGGATTTTAGGGTAATATTCCTATACATACATTAAGTATTTTCTTTATAATCTATTTCCTAGTTTTTAATATTCGAATAATATATCATTTGCAGCCAAACTGCACATCTAGACATACCTGATTTTCCTTTAGAATATCAGGAATTCAGATATATAACTTAAAGTGTTTAGTCAAACAGTACAGCTTTCAGTTTGTTTATCAAAATCAAAAATTATATAACTTTCCATCCTTTACCATTTTCTATCTTCTAAATTGCTGTGTCATGTGACTCATGCCTATAAAAGCTGACCTTTCATTTTCCCTACTTCTCTCCTTCATCAATTAGATTTGCGAATGGAAATTTCTCTGTATCTGTCTCCTGATAATTTCAAACTGTGGATAATTCTTTACCACTTTTATGAATTTCATGTGTTCCTTGTTGTAATTGACAGGGTGCTCTTAAGGGTAGGAACCTTGCAAACACATCTAATTGTGATGTCTGGACAGAGTACCATGAAATGGGTGTTGAGGGAATCAAAGCTGTTGCAGATTACAAAGCTTACACTGCTGATTCAGTTTTGGATCTGCTTCATTTTGTTGCCCCCAAGATGATGAAGCGTGGAGATGCTCATTTTTCTTATGGGATTGCTGATAATTTGGATGATCAGAAATACAAACATTACAAATATTGGTCTAACCCCTTAGAAACAACGTGAGATTCTCTACTTTAATTTTGTTCTTTATGTTCTTTCCTTATAAAAGAAGAAACTCAACTATTTGCTATTTATTTTTCCTTCATCAAAAGCATTTCTGAGCAATTTGTATAAGATATACCAAAAAAGCACATCAATCTAGTTTAATCGGATACCTGGTGAGTAAAGAATCCTACTAATGTGTAGCACTTAGTTACTATGTAATTGTTTTATTACCTGGATTAATGGAGCTGATGGATTGTTGCTTTTGTTATCATCTATAATGCCCTATCCTGCTATATATGAAGATACGACGTTTTTATTATTTCTGCTTTTGGTTTGTGGGATATTTAATTTTCATTCCTACTACTGCAGATTACCAAATGCTCCAGATATGGAGATTTACTCTATGTATGGGGTTGGGATCCCTACAGAAAGAGCCTATGTCTACAAGCTCACTCCTCAATCCGATTGCCACATTCCCTTTCAGATTGACACATCGGCTGATGGTGGAAATGAGGACTCGTGTCTAAGGGATGGAGTTTATAGTTCTGATGGTGATGAAACTGTTCCTGTTTTAAGTGCTGGTTTCATGTGTGCAAAAGGTTGGCGGGGAAGAACCCGCTTTAATCCTTCAGGAATCCATACATACATAAGGGAGTATGATCATGCCCCTCCAGCTAATCTTCTAGAAGGCAGGGGAACCCAGAGTGGTGCTCACGTTGATATATTGGGAAACTTTGCATTAATTGAAGATATTATACGAGTAGCTGCTGGAGCCTCTGGTGAGGACTTAGGCGGAGATAGAGTGCACTCTGATATTTTCAAATGGTCTGAAAAGATCAATTTAAAGCTCTAGATCCACATGGTAAGTTTCCTTGTATTTCTTGCATTAATTGTGGGCCTTGACCTAAGCATAGCATACCTTGGTCAACTTCCATGTCCTATCTTCAGTGAAATGATTCAGTCTTATAAATGTTAGAATGGGTGATGATTCTGATATTTCATTCATCACTTGTGTTCCATTTCATGTGGCTAGATTACTAGTCCAAAGAAAGCAAGCTTTCAACCACTGTTTTGAAAACTGAACCGGAGATTGAACAAGTCATGGATTAATTGGTTCAAACTGTAAAACTTGTGGTTAAACCATTAAACCATGATTGAACCGGATATTACCAGTTTATAGATGTAATAAATCTTTGGCTTTGTAGTCACATAAAGGAGAGTCAGTATTTTAGCTTTAACTGGTGTTGGCCAATTGTTTTCAGTGGTTATATTTCTCTTAGAACCTATTTTCTGGATCCATAGTCCAGTTGCTATTTTTATGAACAGATTACTAATTTCACCTCATAATTTCAGTACGAGATCGAATACTGTCTGCTTCAACCATTGTGCTTTGGGATAGAGCTGGTAATATGAGCTATGGAGCTGATAGACCAGTAGTGGAGACAGCGGCAGCTTGCTTTTAACTCGGAGTATCTGTTGAATTTCTTCGTTTTGGAAAGTGCTGAATCTGTTTAGAAACCCCCATCCCCAAACAAAAAAGAAAGGAAAAGAAATTATACCAAGTTCTTAGTTTTAGGTGCAGGCTTCATGCTTGACGAGAATTTTGTTGATTCCATTCATTGATTTGATTATAATCAAGTGTATTAGCGTCAAGTCAGCTCCATTTTTGGCCCGACTAATTTTTTATACGCTGCTTTGACTACTTTGTTGGTCAATAAAATTTTGAAAAGATTATGTGCTCAAAGTATATGAACACTGGCGTTACTTAGGTAATACTGGTTGTTATGTCACGTGTTGTACCTTCCAATTTCAATAATAATGGGTTAACAAATGCATGATTTTAATGTGAATCCAGAGGTTTGTTAAACTGATGTAGATTCTTGATGAAGTTGGTTGCATAACTTTCAAAACGTTTAGTCTCTTTGGCAACAACAATGGAAAAAGAAACTAGCTAAGGCATAATCTGGAATAAGCTACCCCTCTAAAGCTATTCTATCCTCGCATGGGAGGAAAAGTAAAACTCTGCAGATTCTAAGTGGACACATGTGCATGTGTTACTGCAGTAACAGAAAAGAGAGGGAAAGGGGAAGAAAAACAAGAGAGAAAAGCTAAAAGAGAATTCTTCTTTTTTATTCAACAGCTGTCCAAAAGAACACAACTCAACATTTTAAAGAAAATCACTCGATTACACATGTCAACTAACTGACTAACTCCTAAACACTCAAATGTTCAGCTAATTCAATTACAACAAAAGTCCTTCATCCAGACTGGGTTTCCTCTCTTTCTAGTGGGCCCTGTTCTCTACTCTACTAACAGAACTTGGGCCAACAACATCGGCCTTGTATCAGCATGTGTAGCAAGCCAGTCTGCTATCCCATTAGCTTTCTATATGAGTGTGCAGTATTTGTATATCCCATTCATTCTCTATCCATTAGGCTTCTAGTGCGAGCAATCAACTTAAGCAAAGGATGTTGCTCCTGACAACCTTTTGGTATTAAGTCTCGAGCCCTCCTTCTAGCCAGATTTCTGCATCAATTCGGTGAGGTACCATGGCCCAAGTTCTTAGAGAACCCCAAGTATCCATGGCCCAATGCTATCTCAAATTATATTGCTGCAACCCGTCCATAAACACCTTTAGCGCTCGACGGATCCACGTTTAACTTGACCCATCCAGCAGTTGGGAATCTCAAACTAATCGGCCACTCCACTTTAGATTTTTTCATAAGACCACCACTCAGTATCACCCAAGCCCAAAGTATTAAAAAAAAAAAATTATAATAACTCAGAGATCCATCACAATATAAGTCTTTATGGGATTGGAGGTACAGTAAGGATTCCAGTTGCTTTTTTAGAATCTCAGTTGTCTTTTTGCTGATTTTATCAACAAGAACTCTCGTTAGCATGCGAAATATGAGTTATACCCACAAGATATTTCCACCTAAATTGGTAGTGTGTTTCCTCTTCATTCCATAACATCCAAATATATATATATATATATATATCCCTATAGTACCCAATTGCTTATGTGTAAAAGTGCTGGTTAAATACCATTGTCTTAATTATTTTCCTCATTGCTTCGCCATTTGACCTTGTCTCCATCAATGTCAAGAGCTTTGTTTGATACTTTCTAACTAACTCACAAACAAGGGAAGCTAAACCTTTCTTACTTACTCCTCTACAATTCCAAGAACAACTAATCATCAAGTAAAAAAAATTGGATGAAATGAATTGGAACCACAAACAATTCCTTGTTAACTCAAACTTGTACAAACATGAGTACCAAATTGTCTAAACGCTATCCCTTGTTATGTGTACGAGAAAACCACTTCATGAGACTGAGGGCATCTATCTGCTTTAATTTTGAACCCTTCTTTTGTCCTGGTTTCTTAACCGCTAGGGCCTAGGGCCCTTCCAGAAAGTTTTGTAGCTTCTGACTATGATCCCTCGCAGCATTTACCCGATTTACTTAACTAAAAAAATTAGAATTGTTAGATATAAATGGATCGACATTAAAATTGAAAATGTAATTTATATTTGTATAAAATAATCTTGACCGTAATTTAAAAATTATTTGCCAAAGTTTGGTGGCTCTTACGTGGTTAAACTTGATTAAATTATATTATTTTGATAAATAATTTTCAATTTATATTATTTTAACAATTTTTTTTTAAATTATATTGATAAATGCGCTGATAGCTTTACATTGATAAATTAAAAAAATCATTTATTTTTTCTACGGTTAATGTAAATAACTTATCTACATTGAGCCCAAAACGACGTCGTTTTGAGGCAAATCAAGGTATTTTTATAATTATAATTTATTTCAGAGTTATGATAGTCTTTTTTATCATAATTTTTTAATTTTTCAATATAAAAAGATGTCGTTTTAGTCACGAATGTAAATAACATTCACTTTAGAAACATTAAAGCCTTAAAAAATGAAAATAAGTTATCTGCATTTATTCCAAAACGACGTCGTTTTGGTATTGAAATCTTAAAATATTACAAATATAAATTTTTTTATAAAACACCATGATTTCCGCTCCAAAACGAAGTCGTTTGGACTTTCTGCAGTAACTGCAGAAAAAACGAACCTTAAAAAAATATCATGTACCACAAAAAAAAAATCACAATTCACCCAAAATCTCTTTTTCCTTTTCCAAATTTTAGCCACGAATGAAAACACAGCGGGCCTTTCCGCTACAGCAATATCATTTTTTCTCCGGTAAGGCTAACCGGGAATCAACTTCCCCTGTTGGATCAAGTAAGGCAAGGATTGCATCATTTTTGTCTATTTTCAAGGGATTTCGCAGTCTGGATTGGATCGATTTTGGAAGCAAAAATCATCCAATCCAATCCTCTCGGTTTGATCATGTAATTATTCATTCGGTTTGAATTTTTTTTCAAATCCAATCCGATCCAATCCAAAAATTTTCGGTTTAGATTGGATCGGTTTTCGATTTTTTGAAAATCTTAAAATTTGTTTCATGAATTGTGTAAATAACATCTTTTGTATATTGTATATGTTGGCTTTGTAAAAAAATAAAATTGAAATACACAAACATCAGTAATCGATAATCTAAATTTTTTGGGCAATGAGATATGAAGCTCTACACAGATGAAATTTTGTTGATAATATGTGACTAGGTTTTTACTTGGGTTTAGTTGATGGTTAATGGGTCTTAGGTTTGTAAATTTTTGGGCTATGATTGGGGAAAGACCCTAGTAGGTACAGGGGAATTTATATAGTGGATTGGTTTGGATTAGATCGGTTTTCATCAACTAATCTGAAATTCGATCCAATCTAATTAAAATTTGCGGGTTTTTTTTGGTTTTCGGTTTATTCGATTATTGGTTCTTCGGTTTGGTCGCCGCGGTTTGAATCGGTTTGGAATGGATGATGAACACCCCACTGTTTTCCATTTGGGAAAACTTCAAAAATCCCCCTACAAGTTTCCTCAAAATCATTTAACCCCCTCCCCAAAAATTTTAATCATTTACCTCCTACTTAAATTTTTTTTATCACTTACCCCTCTAATTTGATTTTTCATCCAAAATTTTGTTAACAGAGTTAATTTTTTTAAAAAAATACCAAAATTACCCTTAATAAAAAAAAACATAATTTCTTCACCAACACAATTTTAAACGAACTCACGGAATGTTTTTTTTAAGGTAGGCTTGTTAGAATTAGTAATTATTAATATTATTTCTTGCAAATCTCATTGCTATTAAACACCGCACTCATAATTGTTGGTGTCGTTGTTCAAATAAAATGATTAAAAATTTCGGGGATGAATGAGTTTTTTTGAAGTTTTCCCTTAAAACTATTACTTTTAAGCAGTGGCAAGTTTTTTTCGTTTTGATAATATTTGATATTGTGAATGATTTACATCTTAGGGAGTTATTATTGGACGATTCTATTGAGTATCATGTTGGTTTCTTTGCAATCAACTCATTGATATTTTTAGCCCATGTATAATGACTTAAAAGAATTTGGCATACTAATTTTATTAAGTTTTTAATTTTATACATGAAATACGAATTTAGAAGTTGTATTGCTTGTGGGTTCCTGAAATTCGAACATAAACCTAGATTCAGATTGGGAATTTGCCTAAAGTCAGATTTGTTGTTCATATAATAGTAGAAAAGCTTATAACAGAAAAGGAAAGATCTAAACCTGCTGAAATGATGCCTCCTTAATCATTTTATTTGAACAACGACATCAATAATTGTGAGTACGGTGTTTAATAGCAATGGAATTTGTAGGAAATAATTTTAATATTTACTAATTCTAACAAGGCTATCTTAAAGAAAACATGCCGTGAATTTTTCTAAAATTGTGTTGGTGAAGAAATTATGTTTTTCTTTTTTTTTATTAAGGTTAATTTTGGTATTTTTTTTAAAAATTAACTCTGTTAACAAAATTTTGGATGAAAATTTAAATTAAGGGGGTAAGTGATAAAAAAAATTAAGCAAGAGGATAAATGATTAAAAATTTCGGAGAGGAGATTAAGTGATTTTGAGGAAACTTATAAGAGATTTTTTGAAGTTTTCTCTTTCCATTTTTAATACATCACTCTTTCTTTAGATATGTGGTTTATATCTTTGGATTCTCTTATGTTTGGGTTTAATGTCTCTCGTTACCTCTTATACGTGTCAAAGTATGGGGTTTGTATTTTTTTTTTCTCTTCTCTTTTTATGTTCTCGTATAAAATCTATATGTATCTATAAAAAATAATTTTCTCTTCGTAACTATGAAATGAGAAATATCAAAACCCTCGTGTTTATCATTGACTTTTTAAAAAAAAAAAAAATGATCGTCCACTTTGCTTGTGCATTAAGAAAAATTTTGCTCACTCAAAAAATAAAACGATTCGATATTTCGCTCGTAGGTTGTTGGTCTAAATTGTTTACTTCCATCCTACCGACATTTTAGTACTTAATCTGTTTTTTTTTAAAGAATAGAAACTTTAGTATAGATTCTCTTTTACTTTGCGAAACCTTATCCTCAACCAATTCCAATTAATTTGTTTAAAAATTCAATGAGCAATGAAAGCGTGGAAAAAGTTACATTACCAAACCTTAGTTTTAGCTTATTTAAATTATAAATATCATTATAATTATATGAAGATAGAGTTGATTAGACAAATGTAACATTGATTAGTCCTTTTTAAGATAAGCTTAAAACGTCATGTATTAGTAAATTACCATATGTCTTTCAAGTTTCAATATAAAAAATAATAAATTACCATGTGCATCCGATAAAGACTTCTTTTGATCATTAACCAAACAATAATAATAAATAAAAACACCAAAAAGACCTTTTGGATCAGTCTACAATTTTTGTCTGAGATTCCAACGAGCAGCCGAATTAAAAAATGACGGTGGCAAATTAGACATTTAAAGACAGCGTGCCACATGTCACATGGATAGAGAAAATGGAAGGTAGCGGGTCATTTTCGAAACTAGGATCACTAATCTATATCAGAAAAGTGTGAAGTTGTAGTATTTTAAGAGAGAGAAAGATAGAAAAAGAAAGTGAGAAAGTTCACAAAAAAATAAAAGTATGAGTCTCATTTCTTTGTGAGTGTAAAATAATATAAGTTGTGTCATTTAAAAGGATGAATATTTTTACACTATTATATTATAAAAAAATATATTGCATGTAAGTGTAATAAATATCTCACACACACATATATATATATATATAAATCAAGTCAATTTATATTGATATAAATTACATTTTCAAATCTCATTGTTGATAATGTTTATATGTAGCGATTTTAATTTATTAAATATTTGAATTATTAAATACAAATAAATTAATTATTTAAATTTGGTGTAAGTCTTTTTATTCTCGTATAAGTATAAAAATATCCTATCCTATATAAACATATATATATATATACATATTCACAAATTTATGTATTTTTAATATAATTTGTTCATATTCTATTATGTAAAGTATAATATATGTAAATAATTTTTTTTTATAAATTTTTAATTTAAAAAATTCCAATTCCAATTCAAATTTTGTACACATATAACTGGTTTCCTTTAAATTTTAAAAATTACATACTTCAAAATTTTAAAGAACCAATTTAAATAGTTCTTATATCATACAAATAAATAAACAGAAACATATATAGGATATGTTACCAAAAAAAAAAAAACAGAAACATAGGATATGGTTTTTCAAATACCCGCTCAAGTTTCGAATGACACGCGTGAGTGGTGCGTGGAGTGTGTTCGGCATCAAGCAGATTGATCTGCGGTGGCTTTCGCGCATGGACCCATTTGAAATGGCACGTGGAAAATCTGCGCGTGGGGAAGGATCGAATAGTGAAGGGCGGCTGGGAGCTGTGTGAGGAAAACAAAGGCCCAAGGCCCAAGGGTTGAGGAAGGGTATACGTGGGCCACTCAGAAAATGACGCTAATTGGAAAAAAATAAAAATAAAAAAAAGGTAGAGAGAAAGAAATAGAGAGAGAGGTGGTGATGTTGTGGCTGGTGGGTTCTGTGTGAAAATATTTATGGACTCTCTCTGTCCTTCATCAAAGTCAAAGAGAGAAGAGGTGAAGAATAAGACAGAGAGAGAGAGAGAGAGAGAGAGAGCATTCTAGAGTGAGAAACAGAGTAAAAACCAAACTTCAAGTGAGGTATTGGGTGGGCTGAGGGAGGGTTTCAAGAGAGGAGACATGCCCAAGTTGAACATAGAAGCTCTACTAATACTTGCTTCTTTCTTCATGCCTTGTCAGATCCCAAAGGTATTCTCTTTCTTGCTCTCTCTCTCTCTCTCTACCGATTTCTCTTTCTTACTTATTCTGCCTTATCTTGTCTTCTTTAGCCACCTTTTCCACTGCTTCCTCCTACCCTCACTGTTTTGGAATTAATTTTTGTGGGTGGGATCCTAGTGGTGAGGTTTAAGTTTAGTGTTTACCTTTTGCATGTGGAGTTTGAGGTCAGCTTATGTTGTTAAGGTCACTACTTACTAATATTTGGAAAGTAGTTCTGTGGTGTGGAAGAGTTGTTGCCGTGTCTCCTGTTACTCTTGTTCTGCTTAGCATCTTGTTCTTTTAAGTAATGGGCATTGTGGATATGAAATAGGTTTGCATTTTCTGGATGGGTTTTAACTTTTTACTGTCTCAGGGTTGATCTGGTTTTTATTTTAGCAGCTTGTCTGGCATACTTTTTTTTTTTTTTTTTAATATGTTGGAGTTTCTTGTTAAATATGGCACTTTGGGTGATTTAGGTTCTGATATGGTATTACATAACAAATAGCCTCTTGCCCAATGTATAACATTTGCCTGTCTCTCCTTCTCTCAAGTTTCAGTAGCTATATCTCTTATACAGTACCTTGTCTAAGAGATATATATAGCTATATATTCCCAAAGATTGAAGGCATATGAAAGGGAAATAAAAAAAAAAGTTATATTTGGGGCTTGATGTTATATCAAACTTTTATTTCCTGAAGTGTTTTTTTTCCAAGATCGAGATAGGATATATGAAATTCAATTTTGGAGGAAGAGATTGAAGGTTTTGAGAGTTGTTTTTTCTGTACTACCTTATATCCGAGTCATTATTTAGCTCCATATATACGCCTCACTAAAGAAGAATGTCCTTTGAGCACTTCTTAATTGTTGGTTTAATTTTAGGATGCTCGTTCTGTAGGGTATGGTTGAAGGTTTTGACTTTTGAGAATTAAGGCTGCATTACTGTATACATTTTACTCAAGGAATGGTAAGCTATATTTCATCCTAGAACACTATTTATTTAGAATTACCCATATTTATATAGTCTTATATACGTTGTAAAATACCTACCATAGTGGTAATAATGTTGATAACTGTAATTTAAGCGGCAGTAGGAATAGTGTAGTTGCGGTAATGGTACAGTGTAGTAATTTATTAGGGATTCGGCCATAGTGGCTTACCAAACCTGTAGTGGCTGTGATGATAAGAAAAATAGAAAATGAGGGTAAACTGGATAGTTTGTTAAAGATTAGAAGAATTACCCTGAAATGTGAATAATCCATGGTAGAGATGGGAATCCCAATTCCCACATGTATTGGGAATTAATCCTTTTGAAAATTGTTTTTAAATGGATAAAATATGAACCTTAGATTACCAACTTGAAAAATTCTAGAAAATTCTTCAGGAAATAAGTGTCTCGTAAAAATTTACGTTCATAGGCCTTTGATTAGGTTGAAGTAGTGTAAGTTCTCCATTCAAATGATTAGTGGATGTTGTACCTGATAATTGAAAATGGGAACATCAAGTTCCATGGCTTCAAATCTTGTGTTCATATGTACTCATTGGTAATTGGTATTAATAAAATATGAAAATGTGGTGAACTGGTTACTCTATACTTCTGTCTCTACCGAGTCTATCCTTCTGGGTAAATTGCTTTTTTGAGATTAAGTATGTTCTTTATTTTGGTCTCTATCTTTGATCTGTCCCACAGATATCCTATTTTAGGAACATTATGTCCCTCTCTCCAGTCCGTCATTAATACATGTTGTTTGTTGTCCTGAGAAGTGTAAATGTGTTCCTTTCCTGTGTTGTTGTTCCTATTATGTGTCATGCATTACATTTACACTTTCTTTTAAAGGAATATGGTGTTCCTTGCCTTACTTCACTTCTAGACCAGCCTAACTTGAAACCATTTCTCTCAGGTCAAGATCTGAATGTTGGTTATGTGGAAGGTTAAATGAAGCCGTTCTTCTTGTTGAATCATCCTGATACTATGTACAATTGTTCACAAGCTGATTTTAGTCAGTCAATGGTATGTGAAGCTGCTGCTTTGGATTTTCTGCTTGCAGTTTTAGTTATTGACTGGTTTTTTTCCTCCCATTCCAGGTCCGTGCTCCTTATCCGTATGGTGATCCTTTTTTTGGTGGTTCATTAGTTGCGTATGGACCACAGGCTATTGTAAGCTTTGTCAATTACATCTTGCTATGCATACTGTTTGTATTTAGATGCACTTTATGGTGCTTGGTATTGGTGATTTGAGATTTTTATTACACTTTTATTTCTTAGTAGAATAATTTAATATGATGTCACTGTCTTTTTTTAATTTTATTAGAATCAACCCCAGATGTTGCCCCAGATGCTGGGATTAGCATCCACCAGAATTGCATTACCACTTGATCTTACAGAAGATGTGCCCATTTATGTCAATGCAAAACAATATCATGGTATACTGAGAAGGCGACAGTCACGAGCAAAGCTTGAGGCTCAAAACAAACTCATCAAAAATCGTAAGGTATGCTTCATAATTAAGTTTCACCCATCGGTTGCACCAATTTACCCTACTCGTGTGGTCCAAAGTTGTACAGCCTACTTTACTGAATCTGTTTTGGACTAAAAGAAATGGTGTTACTGCACTGATTTCCCTCCTTGTATAATTGATTGCAGCCATATCTTCATGAGTCCCGGCACCGCCATGCATTGAATAGGGTTAGGGGATCCGGGGGACGCTTTCTTAGTGCCAAACAGCTACAGCGATCTAATTCAGAACTTGTTTCAGGTGCCCATTCAGGCTCAGACCCTGTCAACGTTTATCATAAGAAAGATGCATCAGAGGTGGAAAGTCATCCCTCAAGAACTGGAGAAAATGCATCTTCTATCACAACCTTATCTGGACTAACAAGTTTGTCCAGTAACAGTGTCAATTTTAGGCAGCCTGAGCACATGTTCTTGGGGAACTCCACAAATATGAGTGGGGCATCACAATGCAGTGGGGGACTCACCTTTGGTGGTGGAATTCAGCAATGTGCTCCAGTTGGTCGGTGAGAGGTGGAACCAAGCAAAATAGTTCACCGATCGGGCAAATCATCCTTGGCTTAATCACTTTAATGTATGTGTTTCATGTTCTACAGAAATGTTGTTTTATGAGAGATTCTGCATTAGCACTCAGACATTTGCTAGTGCTTTTGCCATGTATTTTAAAGTTGCTATTGCTTCCATTGTCTGTTGAACTGGATCGTTAAAGTTTGTGTTTGAAAATTTAACTTTTTATCCGTCTATGGACGGTCCTCGCTTTGCCCAATCCAATTCCCAAGCCCCTAAATAAAAGTATTATCGTATGTTCGATTCTTTGTTATTTTCAGGTTATGTGTAAGTATTGCTGTGAACTTTAGTTGACGCTTGTGACATTATTGATTAGGCAACTTCTCTTTTGAACTATTACCTTAAAAAATCGTGTAACCTACTTTTACCGGCCCCCACTACGAAACTTTTCGCTCTGCGATGGTCATACGTTACACCTTAAAACGTTACACGAACCTCTTATGTATTAATTAATATAATTATGTCATGTTAGGGAATCATAATTAACTGTGATAAGGAAAAAGAGGTAAAAAAATATTGGGATAGGTAGTTATAAAATTATTATTATGATTTTTCCAACTGACTATATTGATGGACTAGTATTTGTTAAGCACTTTTCTACAATAATGTTTTGGAAATTTCTCATAAATGAGACCTAAGATTAGCGGTGTCATATGTTTGATGAAAGTTGAATTGGGACCATATGCAAACATAAGTTAGGTGGAAACTAATGCTGACCGTCAATTAGCGGAATGATCTGCTGGATATTTTTTTCTCCTCTAATATGCTTCAAACATTTGTAGTACTCTCTACTACCCTCATCCCATGATTTTTATTTTTTTTTAAAAGTAATATTGCACGGTTCATTTTGTTACCTGCTTAGGTCGTGAAATATTTTTTATGTTTAAGGAGTATTCAATAATTTGGTGTTCTTTCTTATAACATTAATTTTTTCTTTTCTTTTTTACCCCTATTATTTTTTTTTTTAATTTTATCCTCTCATTTACACTAAAGGATCATCTAAAAAATAATGATCTCAGACCATAATAAGTTGTCTCCGTCGGAACGATCAAATAAATTCACTTGAGGTATAAATAGATTTAAAATTTGAAATGCCGCACATGATGTGAGTAATAAGATTTTTTTAAGGTACATTCATGTGAGTAATAGTTCCGCCCAAAACCTAAATCAAATGTAAAAGTTTAACAAAATATCAATCTGATTTATCTTGCTAAAAATAAACAGCTAACTTGTTTATTAAACTCAAGTGACCCTAAATTTTCTTCAAGATCATCTGATTTCCGATTGAATGTTAATCAAGCCAAACGTTTATGTAATAAAGGAGAAAACCTTCATCATTGATTAGTACTTACAATAAATTAAAAATAAATTTTAAAACGCAAAATAATAATCCAGAAAGTCGAAATTTGAAAGGAAAAAGAAGAAGAAAAAGATAGTAATAGTTTGGCGTAAGACGAAGGAAAGGAGCAGAGTAAGGGAACACCGACCAAAAATATCATTTTTCATCAAATTTTTTATCTAAATGCTACGTGAACAATGTTATTTTCTAATGTGACACGGGAACAAGTTCGCTACCCGATGTATCGAACTCGGTTTGCTGATGTGTCACATGCCTAGTGGATAACAAATACCAAGTTAAAAATAAAAAAAATAAGTATGGAGTACACCGGAGTAACAAACGTAACAAATTAAAAAATAAGAGTGTTCGCCTCACATTTTGGTCACTATTTCTAGAGTAACTGAGTAACATCCCATAGTGTACACATGAAAATGACTCAACTTTTGTTATTTTGGAATTTTTGGTGGTTATAATATAATATGATCCTTCCAATCAGAGTCGCACCCAATTTGTATTCCCATTGTGTTGGTGTTTCCCGAGAAATAGAAAGCGGCCCCAATTTCAAACTCCAATCCAATCCAATCTGCGCACTCTTTTCTCTCTCTCTCTCTCTGTGTGTGTGTGTGTGCGTGCAGTGCTGCTGCGTGCTACAGTTGAAATTGGAGATTCAGAAAGAAAGAATCGAATATTGAGAATGGTTTCGTATGTGAACGCGTTGCTGTACGGAGTTGGAGGTTTGGTGGTGGCTGGGATGGCATTGCTGGTGGCGTTTCAGGAGAAGCTGGTGTACGTGCCGGTGTTACCTGGCCTCACCAAGTCTTACGCTATTAACCCCTCTCGCCTGAGACTTAACTACGAGGATATCTGGCTCACTTCTTCCGATGGCGTTCGCCTTCATGCCTGGTTCATCAAGCTCTTCCCTAATTGTCCAGGTTCTCCCTTCCCTTCCCTTTCCTTTCACTTCTTCTTCTTCTCGATTTATCCAATTTCCTATTTGGATTTCCACTTTTTCTTATCTTTTCACCATTTGGATCTCGTATTCATGTCCAATATCATACACTGCAGACTGCACTGCACTGCTGTAGATTAGGACCACTTGCTTAAAACTTGAACTTAAAATTATGGCAAGGGAGAAATATAGATCGAAAAGGAAAAAAGGGTATTATTTGCTACTGATTGAATGAGACACTATGTTGAATCGTCTTTAGTACGATGCTAATACAATTGACAGGTGCTTCTTCTAGAACTTGTTATGCTTCGACCAAAATGGCACAACTGTTGTTCTGCTTTGTGGACTTTTGTCTTCATAGTAATTGTTTTTCCCTGAATTGGATTAGTTAGAAAGAGGAGAGAGGGGGGTGTTAGAGTAATAGAATAATAGGCGGAAAGTAGTGATTTAAACACCAAAATGGTTGAATCAAGGCTCATCTTTTGAGATTGCAAAATCTTCGTTGGTTGCTATCTAATGTATCATTCCTTTAAGAAATGTGCACATTTGACATACGCTTTTTGTATTCCATGTTTTTTCTGTAATTTGGATCTGTTCTAATGCAGTTCTTCTTTATTATGTTCCATTGTCAGGTCCGACCATTTTGTTTTTTCAAGAAAATGCTGGAAGTATCCTGGTGTTAGATATTAGGGTTAAGTTGTGATTATTATTTCATATATCTTTTCTTGACTAGGTTCGGTATGCTTTTAAAGACCTTGACTACTGACTTCTAGATATTGCTCATCGCCTTGAAATGGTTCGCATAATGTTGCAACGGTTACAATGCAATGTTTTCATGCTTTCTTACCGAGGGTATGCTTCAGCCTTGCACCTTATTGTTAATATTTCCTTATAGCTATGTGTCAGCAGATTCATGCCTTTAAAATGCACATTTCACCTTCTGAATGAATTTGCACTAATGTATCATTCAATTATGCAGTTATGGAGCAAGTGATGGCTATCCTTCTCAGCATGGAATCACTAAGGATGCTCAGGTATGTTTTTTGATTAATACCCTTATTTTGGTCATCTTACTTTTTACTCAAAAAATTTCCCCATTTTATTACCTCCTTGCGTCCAGGCTGCATTGGATCATCTTTCTCAAAGGTCTGATATTGACACATCTAGAATAGTTGTATTTGGACGATCACTTGGGGGTGCAGTTGGAGCTGTACTAACAAAAAATAACCCCGACAAGGTACTCCCTGGCAAACTATGCATTTTTCAATACGAATTTTAACTTTTATGTTGTTCTTGGTGAAAATTGAATTTTGGATTTCAGTTATCACCCTGGATTATAGGCAGTAGATAAATGTTTCTTTAGAATTTTAATGCTGTATGTATGGATAATAGCTAGCTAGATTCGCAAGAGAAGGCACATAGCAAGACCATATGATTTATCTAAATTTGTTTGCTAAATGTAACGTCCCGTTTGCAGCCGGTTAATTAACATTCATATGATAATAAGCGTAGTATACTTAAATAATTAAATGCGGAAGCTCTTTTCTAATTCCCTAGACTAGTCCTAGTATGAAAATGTGATTAACTTTTTCTTTTTCCTTACGTATTGCAAACTTTATCGCTTCCATGGCCAAAATAAAGCGGACGACATTTTGTCTGTATTTTGGACCATTGGAGACATTTCCCACCCTTTTCATTTACACCTGATTAACGGTTAATTATATCCTAATTATACTCAACATAGATAAAACATGTTGCCTAGCCATTTCTGGCCTAGGCTATCACATAACCATCAGGTCTTAAAATAATGTCCATAGTGTTACTTACATAATTACATCAACTAAACAAAAGAAATGCACTTAAATAAGTAACATAGGCCTATACATAAAGCACTATCGGCATGCATAAACTCTCATCAAGGCATAGACGTCTCTTATGCTCTCAAAATAATGTCATGCAACTCTCAATACAGTCAAATAAATAGTCATGTCATATACAAGTCATGTCACTGTCCTGGCTTCCTGCCCTGCGATGTCTCTGCACCATCAACCTCTGTACCTGAAGTGGTAATCCCTATAACGTGGGGTGAGATAATATAATTACCTTAGTAAGCTAGGGATCCTTGGAGGGCTCCTCCACCCCTAAGCTCACTTCTAGTATAATCACATTATAAAAATCCATGTATGCATCAGAATATGTATATCAATGCATGTGTGCAATAATGTAATCCTACTGACCAGAGAATATAACAAGTATGCATTACGCAAGGAAATACCGTCTTGCTACATACTGTATGAGGAAACACCGTCTCATACTATGCATAAGGAAACACCGTCTTATGCCTTATACAAGGAAACACCGTCTTGTGTGACACACAAACATACATACATATACATGCAACATATAACAAGTCATATCAACATACCATACAAAAGTACCATCCTCCCTCTGAGTCTGGTGGAACAAACGGGGGATTAACCCCAAGGACCGAAAGCTTATCTGATAAGCAATGTCCTCCAACAAATCTCGTGTTCACAAAGTCACAATCGCGATCTCTCACAAGGTCAAAACCTAGTTCCAAGATGTGAAGACAATTAGTACATAACTAATCTATTACTTTCAATTTCCAATACTACACATACAAGACACCTACAAGACACCTACACTTGATTTTGAGTCCAATTTATCAAAGTGTTCTAAATGACGATTTCATAATTTTTCCTTTTACGGGAACCAATCACAAGCATGTTTAACAAAGGGACTCACCTACAAATCACCCTCCAATTACTTATATCATTAAATTTTTGAAATTGACATATAGCCAAAAAAACCATGATTTTTTATAGTGAGCTAAACGCTGCTTTGTTTTTTTGTCTTTCGTCAAGAAGCAATCCTAAGCATATTTAACAAAGAAAACTATATTTAAATCACTCTCTAACTATCCATACCATGACTTACCTCAATGTGAAAAATTTGCAAATCTTCAACTCAAGCGAATGAAGATTCCAATCCGTGGAAATCGCTCAAAACAACGTTGAGATCAACTCTACAACATGAATATACCACAAACAACTATCACAATCCATAAAATCCTCACATTTTCGTGCACTATTCATCATAAAACCTAACTTTCTTGAAATTCCATAAAATGAAGTTGGAGTTGGGGAAACTTACCACAAATCATGCTAGAATACTAGGAAAAGGAAATCCCAAGCTCCATTGTTCCCAAAACACTCAAATCACCCAAATTTCTTAAAAGAAACGAAATGGTAGAGGGGTGGTATCTCACTCCACACAACTCCCCACTTGAAAATGATGGTTTGGCTTTGAAGAGGAGAGGATTTGACACACTTTTGGCTTTGGAACCAAGTGACTTGGAGGTCTCTAACTCTATCTATGATTTTTGAAAAATTTGAAGCTCTTATGTAATGGGGAAGGGGTTCTGTCGATGGGGGAGGAGAAATGAGGGAGAGTGTGTGTGTTCTGTTTACTTAAGTGAGTTGAAACTAAGCTAGTGAGTATAAACTTATCTATCCCGCTCACTTATCTTTCATTCTAACTTTACACATTGATTTACAATATTTTTATGGTAATGTTTACAAATTTACTTTCACTTTGCAGTTAACTTTGTCTACTTGCATTTTTACCCCAATACTCTCATTTTTACTCTTTTTCATCAAAGGTGACTTTAATTCATTTTAATTAGACTTTCCATCTAATTACTCTTCATTATTTATCATAAATTCCTTAATCCATAATTAAATCCACAATTTAATGTTTGGGTCATTATACTAAAGTTTCTTTTGTCATAGATAGATTCATAACTCATTTCATGATTTCATGATTATCGGCATTATGTGAGAAAATAATGTTGAACTTGTTGTATCAATCTTGTTTTAGATTCTTGTGTGCCAATTTTATTGCTCTTCCCCTTGATAAACACACACAAACTGAATAAAAAAACATGTTGCTAATATGGTTGTATAGTCAATGATTCTGGCAGTGCTTTCTAAGTGCTGTTATAAAATCAATTCCTTGAATAGGAGTATGGAAATGTTTTTAGTTTACATACAAAAAGCTTCTATTTATTGCTAGTATGTGTTGTGAAATGATCTAGGAATCCATTCCTTTAGCTTTTTTTCATTGTTATGCAATATTTATTATGAAGTGTTTTACTTACTAGCCTTAATCTCTCGGGGATTCTTTAAAGAATAATTTAAGATTCTTTAAAGCAAGTTATAAGGAACCAGTTTTTGACACTGATTTTGGAGAAGTATCAATTTCAAATTTGTTTTTTATAAAAAAGGGTCGACTTTAATTGTTTTTTTATACAGTCAAAAAAGTTGTTATTAAGTAAAGTCAAAGTGCTTTAAAAATTGGCCACTAAACCTTTTTCCTTTCCAAAAAACTCCAGATTTATTTTATTATTTTCTGGACGTATGAAGGAATCTCACTTTTATTGCTTTGGTGCTTATTTAGTGAAATGAGATTTCAAGCAGAGGCTTTGCCTTTCAGCATATTGATAGCTTTCTTCTTCTGACATTTCTTTTATGTAGAATTGTAGAAATACTTTGGAATTAATTTTAGAGAGAGTAGTCTAAACAGAGACCGATTTAGAGCCCGTTTGGATGAGCTTTTTTTTCTTTAAAAGTTGCTTTTTTTCAAGAAAAAAAGCACTTCTCATTCTTAGTTCGTTTGGATGCTTGCTTTTAAAAAAAACAGAAGTTACAAAAAAAGCCAAAAACCTACTTTTTCCAGAAGCTAAAAAATTTAACTTCCAAGAAAAGCAGAAGTCAAAAGCCAAATATTTTTTTAGAAAACTAAATATTTTTATAAAAATATAAATAGCTTTAATTTTTATAAAAAGCACTTCTAAAATAAGAAACAGATAAAAGTTACTTTTTTTATAAGCCCAAACAAACGGGCTCTTAATCTTTTATTCAGAAATTTAGATAGGCATCTCCATTTTGTTATTCTCAGCAACAGTTTGTTTGTGCACCTTTAATCTACATTTTTCTTTGATTTTTTTTCTTTCATTTTAGGTTGCTGCACTGATACTTGAGAATACATTCACATCTATATTGGATATGGCTGGAGTTTTATTACCTTTACTGAAGTGGTTTATTGGAGGCAGCTGTTCAAAAGGTCCTAGATTACTCAATTTTCTTGTACGTTCTCCATGGAGTACTATTGATGTTGTTGGCGAGGTGAGGGATGCTGGAAATACTAAGTTTTACCTTCTATTGTTCTGATCCTCAGATTAGAATTAGGTCACCTGGGCATAATGACTTGGCTTTTTCATAATTAATATATAGATAGTTCGCTGGGCTCTATCCTTTGTAAAGCTTTTAAGGAGGATGTTAATTTTAAACTTCTAAAATCTCTTTCTTTTGTCTCTAGAAACGAACATTGTATTGCTTTTCTTCTTACCCGTTCTATAAATGTCTGGCTGGATTCACGTGTTTGTGCACCAACTTTTTATTGCCATCTTATTGCAGATCAAGCAGCCTATCCTTTTTCTATCTGGATTGCAAGATGAGATGGTCCCCCCATTCCATATGCAAATGCTTTATGCTAAGGCCGCTGCTCGTAATAATCAGTGTCTCTTTGTGGAGTTTCCTACCGGCATGCATATGGATACTTGGGTTGCAGGTGGTGATCACTACTGGAGAACAATTCAGCAGTTCTTTGAGAAGCATGTTCCAGAGAAAAAGGAAGATAGATCATCCCAAAATGAAAGGGGTAATATTTTATTTTTTTAATGCTGTGTTTCAAAACTGAGATGGATTGTTAAAGAAAGTGGGGTAGCTTTTGCTTCATTAGTTGCATGAATTTTATAAAATTTTGAATTTTTAGTTTTAAAAGTTTCCTTTCTTTTTTGCCTTTTCCTTTTTTGTAGGGCTCTGCATTTGCAATTTGTTCTTTTCGTGATATTCTCAAACTTCATCTAACCATTTTTTTTTATCTTGTTTTGCCCCCCTTTTCAGTACTAACTGCTATCAATCTCCTTTGTTGCTCTTGCTCACTTAATTGTTGTTTTAATACTGCTGCCAGATATTGGGGCGAGGTGATTGGCTGACATTAGATTATCTCAAAGATACTAATTGGCTAACTAAGGACTCAAACAATTTCTGCCCTTTTGAAGTTGCAGCCCCGAAGAGTCCTCTGTGAGAAGATGCTTCCTGCTGGGACATACTGCACAACGTCAAGCTATTTCATTGGACAATTTTGGTTGGGTTGTGGTTTCCGGAACTTGGAAGATGCCCAGACAATTTGTGATTCCCTTTTGCTATATGCTATACGGCATCTACATTTTGGATGCCTGATCGAATTTGATAAATGACATGTTGAATAATAATTATTCCAAAGATATATATATACGTGTTGTGGATGTACTGTACTTATCTGCGTTGTTCTTAATGAATGGGCTCATGTGTTTCATACTAATAATGCACGCTGAGACAGTGATATCGATAAGTTGATACTAATTTTCGTAATGTTATTTTTATTGATTGTTTATATAGAAAATTTGAATGCCCGATATAGTGCATGATCTTTTACAGACGGAGGATTTGAACTGCCAGGTCATTGACATGTCTGAGCTAGGATAGGATCTGTTAACTTGTGTAATAGTTTCAAACAGGTTTAAAATTTGCTAATAAATATTCACCCAAAAAAAAGAGTTTGCTGATAAATTCTACTTGGTGAATTAATTAATTTGATGATCATTGAACCTACTACAAGGTGCAACTGATGCATGAAGCGCGTCATTTACTAGCAACTCAACATCCAACTTTACAACAGAAGACACTTTTCAAAAAAAAAATTATCTGTTTGGCATCAATTTCCTTTGACGTCTCTTGCTTTAATTTTCATATAACGCCAAACTGGCCACTGCATTTTCCTAATTTGGTTAAACTTTAAACCCTTTATTTGGAAACTAGATTTGTGCAAAATTTACAGAGGATAATAAGGTTAGGGTTGTTCAAGTGCAAGCCCCTAGGACCTGAATGTTGATTGTTCTCTTCTAATCACTTCACATTCTGTATTGTAAAGAAAGTATTTCAAGTTGTTATTTTACACAACGATTGCCAAAGTAATATTGGTAATACATGAGTTATTTGTGCTCTCTATACTCTTTGTACGTCTTACTTATTATTAGGAGTTCCTTTTTCGTGCTACTACATCTAAAACTCTATTTCTGTTCTGCTGCTCATTCAGTGATTCAATCATGATTTTCATAAATGGAAGGAGAGATAAACACCATTAAAGGAATCATATAACCATATTCTGACATTCAAGTACCAACTGAACGGAAAGGAAATGATGGAGCAAGTGAATCATCATCACAATCTCTATGGTAATCCGGTTCCAGCTAATGAGTAACGCAAGGTACTGCATTAAGACACGCGTATAGCAGTTACTGCATCTAAATGCCAAAACCGATCATTTTTTATTTATTTATTTTCTAAACTTTATAAATACCACTAATTTTATTTATTTAGATATCTTTTTTAAGGGTGCAGATAACTTATCTGCAGTAAGTCAATACAATGTCGTTTTGAGACGGAAATCATGGTGTTTTTGTAATTTTAATTTATTTCAGAGTTATAATAGTCTTTATATTTATAATTTTTTAAGATTTCAATATCAAAACGACGTCGTTTTGGGAATAAATGCAGATAAATTATCTGCATTAACTGCAGAAACATCTTTCCCTCTTTTTAATCAATAATATCCCTGATGTTTGAAATATTATGTTCCTTTGTTAATTTGAAATAACACCAATAAATTTTATCTCATTATAATAACTTTGTTCTCTAATTTTTTGTTAACAAGAATTAAAAATCAACTATTAAAAATTTGAGCAACCACCCTCATTCCAAAAAAAAAAATATAAAATATAAAATTATACCAAACCCAATAAATAAATTACATTCACTATTAATCAACAAAAGATATATAAGTTGTGATTATGAAAAGAAAATTTTATTTTTGATACCAGGTGTTGATATTATGACAAAAAAAAATGAAGTCATAGCTTTATCTTGTAATTTTTCCTTTCCCGTCTTCTCACGCAAACCAATAAAATCAAAATACAAGGCAGTGAGGCACTATATATTTAAAAGCTTGTACTATCACAATGAGTCCAACCTCGAACGGCTTCTGATAAGAAATAACAACTTCAAACAAAAAGCAGCCATAATAAAATCTCAAATAATTGTTACCAAAAAAAAAAAAAAAAAAAAAAATCTCAAATAATTAATAACGCAGATGATGAACATCCAGATAAGTAATTCAATTGACAACGTGTGTTGGCATAATATTGCAATCTTTCATAAAGAACAAAAAAAAAAAAACAAGAAAGGAGGCAAAAAAAAAAGCACAATCCTAATTTAATAAAGATTATAATTATACAATTATCTCTCTCTAGCAGGGGTGTGCAAAAAAACTGGTTCACTTGTCCTGACCTTGATCCGACCTTGACCCGACCCATAAATACCCATATTCTTTGAACTGGTTTAATTACTGACCCACTTTTATTTGGGTCAGTTTTAGACCTGACTCGTTTTAATAGTGACCCACTGACCCAAAACTTGACCCATACACATTATGTGAAAAAAAAAATCACAATTACATTAAAAGAAAAGTTTTAGCGTAAAACAATTACGTCAAAATTTTTTATGCAAAATATTTTCATAAAAAATTTCTCAAAAATTTTTGACGAAAAATATTTTCATCAAAATTTGTGACTAAAAACATATCGGTAAAAAAATTTGACGGAATATTTTTTTTGTCAAATTTTTTTACGGAATCTAAATTGCGTCAAAATATTTCACAAAAAAATATATTCATAAAAACTTTCGCCGAAACACATTTTCATCGAAATTCTTTGACGGAAAATTTTTTTATCAAAATTCTTTACAGATTTCCAATTTCCGCGAAAGTTTTCGACGGAAACATTTTCGTTACACTTTTTGACAAAAAAAAAATTCGTCGAAATTTTTAGCGAAACACATTTCTATCGAAAATTTTCGATTAAATATTTTCGTCAAGTTTTTTGATAAAGAATATACCCATCTAAATTTTCAACGGAACACATTTTTGAAAAAAAAATTCGTAAAATTTTTTGACAAAAATATTTCGATAAGAAATTTTGACAGAAAAAATATTTTGTCTAAATTCTATGGAGAATCTGAATTTCGTCGAAAGTTTCAAATGAAACATTTTCCTCAAAACAATTTCCATTGAAAATTTCGACGAAACACATTTCCATCCAAAAATTTCGACGGCAAAAAATTTCATTAAAATTCTTTACAGATTTCAAATTTCGGCGAAAGTTTTCGACGGAGATATTTTCGACATCAATAAATTTTGACGGCAAAAAATTTCATCAAAATTCTTTTTCAGATTTCAAATTTCGGCGAAAGAGTTCGACGGAAATATTTTCATCATCAAAATATATCGACGGAAAAAAATTTCATCAAAATTCTTTACAGATTTCAAATTTTGGCGAAAGTTTTCGACGGAAACATTTTCGTCATTAAAAAATATCGACGGAAAAAAATTTCATCAAAATTCTTTACAGATTTCAAATTTCTGCGAAAGTTTTCGACGGAAATATTTTCGTCATGCAAAAATTTCGACGGCAAAAAAATTCATCAAAATTCTTTAAAGATTTCAAATTTCGGCGATAGTTTTTGACGAAAAAATTTTCGTTAAATTTTTTGACAAAAAAAAAATTTTCGTCGAAATTTTTAGCGAAACACATTTCCATCGAAAATTTTCAACTAAATATTTTCGTCAAGTTTTTTGATAAAAAATTTCCATCAAAATTTTCAACGAAACACATTTCTATAAAATAATTCCGTAAATTTTTTTAACAAAAAAAATATTTTGACGAAAAAAATATTCTGTCAAAATTGTTTAGAGAATCTAAATTTAGTCGAAAGTTTCAAATGAAACATTTCCCTCGAAATAATTTTCGTCAGAACACATTCCCATCGAAATTTTGAACGAAAAACATTCCGTCAAATTTTTTGACAAAATTCTTTTTTCGTTTAAAATATTTGATGGAAGAAATCATTTTCGTCAAAACTCTGACGGAAACTAAATTTCAATAGAAAAATTTTTTTTGTAAAAATTTCGACGAAAAAATAATTTTGTGACGAAATTTTCGTCTTTTGCAACGTAAAAATTTTGACAAAATTTTGTGAGAAAACCAAGTCAAAAACGGGTCAGGTCAGATTTGACCCAGTTCAGAAACCAAGTCAGGTCAGATCCAAACTGGTTCTGAACTAGTTCAACAAAATCCAATCCAAGTCAAACCTGGCTTGGATCAAATTAAAGCGGGTCGGGTCAAAATACCTGACCTATAAAAACCAAGTTGGGTCGAGTCGGACAAAAACCTGACCCGACCTGACCCATGCGCAGCCCTACTCTCTAGAGAGTACTAATTACTTAGGTTAAAAAGGAATGTAGAAACTGTTGCATAAAATAATCTTATTATTAGGGAAAAAATTAATGTAGAAGCAGTGGCGGAGCCAAGATTGGAGGAGGGGGGGCAAAAATTATTTTTTTGTTGTTGCATAATATCGATATTTTCTTTACCTTTTGACCTCATACCTTTAAGGAACTCATCTAGGTAATTTCTTACCAAAATATTAACATTTAACCACATTTTAAAAATTAAAAAATATACTATTGGCCAGGTCCAACAAACATAAAAAATAATTTAAAGCAATAATTAAACAAAAAAAGAGTGTCTTAACTAAAATAATGCTTTTAACTACAAATTTTAAAAAATAAAAATAAAAGACTGTAACCAAATTGCCCCAAAAAAATTAATCTTTTAAGTCAGAGCAAACTCATTTTCTCTATATGAAACCACTGCACAAAGAAAAACACAACCATACAAATGAAAATAGAGTAAAAGGGTGGCAAAAAGGCCAAAACTTTCATTAACCAAAACATAGCATATGAAACTACAAAAGAAAATGCATAAAAGGTTATATAGATATAACACACACACATTAGGTGAAGTGGAGATAGATTTCAACTTGAATCTCAAACCAGAATACCCGAAAGAAGCACATTTAACAGTAACAATAGTACCATGTTTAGCCTTTAACTGCATTACTTTTTTTTTTCAATTTTTTTGGAGGGGGGCGGTCGCCCACCCTAGCCTCCCCCTGTCTCCGCCCCTGTGTAGAAGTACATATGACTCATTTTTTTTTATATGGCATCACCTGAAATCTACATATTTTTATGTATGTATAGGAGATTATCTCATAGAATATTAGAAACATTAATCCCAAAATAAATACTATTTAAATTTGACAAAGGGATACACATATTTCAAACGTTAGAAATATTACAAAAAAAAAAAAAAAAAAAAAGCATTTTTAATTCTAAGAAAAACTTTAATTTCCCCCCCTTTTTTTATACCCATTGAATATCAGTTCGTCATGTGGCACAACAATGTGAAACTTGTATGGAGTTTTCTCCCATCATCCATGCAAATTTAACAAAATCATACACACATAGCGCGATCTTAATTTTCCATTTCAAATTTAACTGTAACTCACCGTTTCTATTTTCTGACTTTAAGTAAATATTAATTTGAACATAACATAAATTAATAATAATTAAGATTATTAAGTATGACATTACTTATTCTATTTAAATGATATCAAATATATAAATTCTTAAAAAAAGAAATCATTGTTATAGATATTGGAAATTACCGTGAACATTATGCCCATATAAATTCCAGACTAAGACCCGTCTAATTATCCTATAGATAGACAATAGGTATGCCCAGCTCACTTTATTACCCTATCCCTATTTCATAACTCCTCAGTCACTGAGTAAACAACTGCTACTGCCACTATCCAAAGCTTCTCCTACTCCTTAATTTTGTGAATTATGATAATTTTATACTTTTTAGTAGTATTATTTCCACACGTGTTAATGCTCATTACATTTTTTTGTTTAATATAAAATATTTATCTAACTATCTCAAAAAATTTAAGACGTAGTTTTACTTAAATAAACAAAATACAAACAAACAAGGTATCTTATCTTTTGATCCAAAATTTAATTAAGAATTTAGTAATTTAGTTTAATTAATATAAGAATGAGTAGGTGAATTGATTACCGTAGCCAGAGAGGGTAGAGTAGTAGTAGTAGACACACACACACCCGTTGCTTTTTTGGTGTTCCCTCTCTTTTTATACTCCTTCTTACTTCTTCTTACCCTTACCGGAAATATTGCTTTCTGCTTCTCACGGCCGTCTTCGTCTTCCCTGATTCACAATACTTCTCTCTCTCTCTCTCTCTCTCTCTCTCTCTCTCTCTCTATATATATATATATATATATATATATATATCTGTTTGTTGCATTTTCCATTGTTGAAGGAGAAAACTCCGAAGCTGTAGGGTCATGGACGGTGGAGCGCAGTACAACCCTCGTACCGTCGAAGAGGTTTTCAGGGACTTCAAGGGTCGTAGGGCTGCCATGATCAAGGCTCTCACTACTGGTCTCTCTTTCTCTCTCTCTCTCTCTCTCTCTCTCACACACACACACACACACACACACAGTCTTCTCTCTTTCTGCTTCCAAACACTCGCGCAGAGTGTGTCTTACTCGCACTTGTTCTTCCTTTTGTCTTTTTTTCCCGTTCTAGGGTTTTCTCTTTCTATACATTCTAAAGTTAAATTTCCCCTTTTTCTTTTTGGGCAGATGTTGAAGAATTTTTCCAGCAGTGCGATCCTGGTTAGGGTTTTTATTTATTTATATTTATTTACTCTCTCATTGCTTTTGTTCTTTGCGTGTGTTGGGTCTGTAATTTATCGCCTTCTATGTCTAGAATATTATGTTATTCAAATCTTTAATTTCTTTTCCTTACATTATATGGCATTGTATAATAGTGTAATTAATTATTATTTTGTGCATGTGGCTCAAAACTTTGACTTTGAATATTGTTTCTTTTTTTTTTCCCTATTTGCTATGCTCGAATTTTTGTATTTAATAATACAAGTGAACTATATTGTAGTCATATCTATTGATACTTCATTTATTCAACTGTTGTGTTGTTCACCAGAAAAGGATAATCTTTGTCTGTACGGGTTCCCCAATGAACAATGGGAAGTTAATTTACCTGCGGAAGAAGTTCCTCCCGAACTTCCCGAACCTGCATTGGGCATAAACTTTGCTAGGGATGGGATGCAAGAAAAGGACTGGCTGTCTTTGGTTGCCGTTCACGGCGATGCATGGTTACTTGCCGTGGCTTTCTACTTCGGGGCAAGATTTGGTTTTGATAAATCTGACAGGTACAATTCTGCGTTCTAATCCTTTGTTTTGTTCTGCTCCAAGCAATGCTTTTCTAGGTTGGACGAGAACATATTTTGAATGCCTGTCATTTTCTTGTACTTATGAACTTTAGATCTTATTATGTGGCAATGCAGTTTTGATTTATTTAATGGAAAAAACATTATAATTTATATTGCTACAGAAGAAATATTGTTTCAAGAAGATTGAGAGATTGAAGAAGGAGAGACGTCTTGTACAGAATTTGCATTTGGGATTCTAAGCTTTTATCTCTATATGGATAAAAAAGGGTTTAAACCCTTTTCAGTGTTTAGTTGAGTATATATGATGAGCTGGTAGCTATAAAGTTTTCATTTATATCAAGCCTCCACACTGTGTAAGTGTTTTGGTTATTGTTCCGTATGGTTTCTTGGTCACTAGACAGTAATGGTGAACAAGTTGGATGGAATATAAAACTTACGTGATATGATAAATGTCAACAAAATTGGTTCCTTCAAAGATAAAAGATTGACTGTGGCATGTGTTTTGGCAGATTTATACTTGTGATTTATATTCTGTTCTATGATAGTGTGCAATTAATTCTCTTTGCAGGAAACGGCTGTTCACTATGATTAATGATCTACCAACAATATTTGAGGTTGTGACTGGAGCTGAAAAGAAACAGGCTAAGGAAAAGTCATCTGTCTCAAACATCACCAGCACCAAATCAAAGTCCAGTTCAAAAGGGGTAAAAGAAAAAGTTTATTACCTTCACTCTTACCTGTTTATTATTTTCTCTTCTTTATATGTTTTTTAATTGTCATAATTGCTCTATTACAAAATGTGTGGACTCTAGTAATGCATCGTCGACTTTAGCTTGTCACTTTTTTGAATCCATGTATCTCTTATTCTTTTCTTTTTTCTTAGATGCTTGAACTAAGTAATTTCCAATGCTGAATAGAGTTGTGATGCTGCTTACTTATTCATTTATTTCCTTCTTAATATGTCACTTCTGCATTATTGTTTCCGTATTGGAACAAAATAGCGAGGATCTGAACCAGAGAAGTATTCGAAGCAAACAAAGGATGAGGATGAGGGATTGGATGAAGAAGATGAGGAGGAGCATGGGGAGACCTTGTGTGGTGCATGTGGGGAGAACTACGCATCTGATGAGTTCTGGATTTGCTGTGACATATGTGAGAAGTGGTTCCATGGCAAGTGTGTGAAGATCACTCCTGCCAGGGCCGAGCACATTAAGCAGTATAAGTGCCCCTCATGCAGCAATAAGAGAACACGGCCTTGATATTGTAGGGATGTGGGTTAGTTCTCAGTTCTCACCCGTAACTAAATCATGTTGGTCTTTTAACTAGTTAGTAACGTAGGCTTCCTTTGTCAATGCAATTGTGGTGCGGCATATGTATTTAGTACGACGGATATATTATTTAATATTTGATAGTTTGCAGGTTCTGAACATGTCTCCGACGTTCATCCTGTACTGCGATATTTATGTTCTTTGGACATGATAGCATACTTGTTTGTGCAGAAGGCTACATTTGTGCTATATATAACAGTTCATCTAACAATGTTCTACCTGTTCGTCGACTGCAATATAATTAATTCGATGCGATATACAAATGCTACTTCCATAGGACATAAATACAACATATGCATGCATCACGTTGTTATATTACAAACGGCTTTACAAAAGAAAAATGTGCCTACAGTAAAATCCATCTCTCTCTCTTTTTTTGTTTTAATAAAATCCATGACATTGTGTACTCCATATCTCGTACAACAACGCATTTACTCGAGGGTAGGTCCTCTTAGATTGATGCTCATACAAAACAACCCCCAAGCGAGTTCAGAATCACATGGCTTAAATGAAGCAACAACTCCAACAATACCATCTTAAGGAAAAACCATCTTCAAGAAAAAAGAACTGAATCGCGCATTCAACTCATCATTTAACGTACTCTAATAGTTTCATTCTGTATAATGATATTGGGATTTCTTATATGCGGATTTAGTGCTACCAATTCCTTCCATTTTGCTCCAGTACCATAAATACGAGATGATATGCTCCACAATGTGTCACCAGGTTGCACGTTTGTGGTGACAGGAGCACTAGATTTAGATGCAGCCTTTGGCTTCATTAATGGATTCTTATTGCTCTTCCCCATTCCATTAGCAAGCAACCAGCGGGAACCAGACTGTTGCTGCCTTGAACTACCCCAAAGCCTCTTTACGTGAGACTCGGTCTTAAGACCCGCAACGTGGACTTCTGTAATTCTGAACTGAGGAATGCCTTCCTCTTCAAAACTTTTCTCCTCTTTGATGTCTTTCATCACCACCTTAGGTACTATTTCACACTCATCATCCTCGACATTATTGTTCCCCACCTCAGACACACACCTGTAAATTTTTTGCTTTGGTGGGACAAACACTCTCTCGACTTGTATAAGAGCCAGCATTGGTGTTCCAACAGGCTCATAATTTCTAATAGGATCACGAAGTTGCACCATTAATACTACTGTGAAATTGTTTCCCAGCAAACCACATTTCATGCCACGGCCTTTGCCTCGTTTCATCGCTCCCTTTGAACTCCCACGGATTAAGTCAAAAGAGTTAGCATGATGGGCAGCAAGAAGTTTGGAAGTGTGCTCACTGATATTATCTATATCATCAAACTCACCAGAATCCAGCCTCATCCATTCATCAAGAGTTAATGATAGGCCCATTATCCCATCAACACCTTCACTGCTGTCTTTTATATCTAACAAATGCAAAGCAGCAGATCCATCCAGGCCAAGGGACTCACTAATATTAACCCCCTTGCCTTGGAGAGCTGAAATATCCCCAAAGGATTGTGCAATGATGTTTGATGGTGCATCCTCCTCCGACATCCCAGATTGTATTCTCAAACCCTCCATTGAAAGTGCTTCAATTTTATCCATAGCCAATGGAGCGAGATCTTCCAATGAAGCAAACTCTGAGCCTCTCTGGTTGCCTTTCAGGCCCCTTTGCACGCAAGTAGAATCTTGCCCTGTTATCAAATCATGCTGCAAATGGCATTGCCTACATAAAGGAAGCAAAATTCAATCAGTATAACATTTTAAAGGACTAGCTATGAAAAATCTCACTTCAAGACAAGTGATAAAAAAAGGATAGACAAACCTGTCTGTTCCCTCCAAGACTGGCACCGCTTCCCATGATATTTGTTGCATTGTCTTCCCTGTGATATCTTCCAGAGGCATTAACTTGTTTGCCTGCATCGAAAGCTTTTCAATTCCCACTGAAGCAAAACACTGCAAAATCTCCATAATCCCAGAACCCATTTCTGCAGGCATCACAACGGGGTTGGAAACCTGCATGATTAAGTTCCCACCACTTTTAGTATTCCTAAAAAGGGAGGGATTCATAGATCGTAGAAACCCCCCATCTTTTGTCTGAAGAAAAGGACCCATCCCCTCTGCTAGAGGAGGTAATATGTGAGGCTCTTGAGGTAGTAATTGTATTGGACTTCCAAAACCAGCAACGTCTTTCGGTGGAGAATGCTGAAAAGCCTTCTCATTCAAACCCCATTCACGCATTAAGGCTTCTGTTTCCAAGTCTTCTAGCATCTGGGCCTTGCGTTTGCTCCTCATATCCTCAGACTCGATTACATGCCCTTCTTGCAGACCTTGCAACAAGGATGGTGACTTAATGCCTGTAGAGAACTTCAACTGTTCAGATACAAAAGAAGCATCACGGCCACCATCTGCTTCATTATCATTGCCCATGTCAAAATCAAATAAATTGAAGCCCTCAGACAGAGCGTCCTTCTCAAATTGTCTTAAAAGGAGCTCTCTTGGAGACTCAGGCTCGCTTTCAGAACTCAAGCCCATTGGACTAGAGTCCATGCCTAGCATACTTAAAAATTCACTGGCTACTAATTCTGTAACATCATCCAAGCTATGTGACTTTCTCATCTTACATTCAGATTTGGCTTCCAGAATTTTAGGAGATTCCCATGCCACTGTCTCCAACTCTGAGACACTATTTAAAGCCGATTCTAGTTCTTGCAGGAGAAGTTCTTTCGTGCATAAATCATCCTTTCTGTAAGAAATTTCATGTACCACAGCACTTTCCTTAGAACTATCATTCAGTTCATCCAGGGAATCCTGTTTAACGCCATTTTGAAAAGATACTTGTATTCCAGCAGTATCAAGGGTACGGGTACTATCAACTGTATGATCATCAACAATAGCCTTTACGATGGATTCCTCTAGTTTAACATGTTCATTTGATGAAAATTCAATGCCATGATCAATAACAGAAAATCCATTACCTTCACACGCTTCAGGATTTTCTTTTCCAGAATCAAGTAAAGGATAAGCATTTGGCTTAACTGTCTCCAGGTTTTCATGAAACACATCAAACTCAGGTTTGTCATGCACTGGACTAAATGTTTTTCCTTCATTACCTGAATGCTCTTCTGGCTTTTCTTTTTCAATATCAGATGCATCCGGTTTGATCGGCTCAAGATATTTTTTAAATACATCAAGTTCAGGTTCATTGTGCAGAGGACTAAGGATCTTTTCTTCATCAAATTTCTTACATAAGATGTCTATTGAGATGGCTAGTGTTGATTTTGATGATGGAAAAACTTCATGAAGATCCTTTACCTCATCTACATTTTGAGATGAACACTGACTGGTCAAACAAGGCAAACTTGCAGTACGATTGGGTTTTATATCTGATTTCATCAAAGCCATACTATTTTCCCCCGATGCCAATAAAAAAGGAGCACTAAGGTTGTCTCTGGCAACACCAGTGTTATCACCAACCACCACATACCCGAAACTGACATTCATTGCTGCACCCCTAGCCGTTCCTGATAATCTAAAACTTGTAGTCCACTTCCCTGAGCTCTTTTCCTCTTCAAGATCTTCCAGTGTGAGAGGAAGCAACCTTGTGAGATCCACCCGGTGCTTCCCTAAATCAAGTTCTGGCGCACCAACCACAGAAGCATAGAGCAAAAAATGCTTAGCTTCATATTTTGCAGAATTGTGGGGTCCACTCCTACTTCCATTGATTGGACAAGTATAAGTCAACATCTCTTGAAACTCAGCTACACCTTCAATGACCTTGGCTGGAGTAGTCACCAAAACCTCATCCCTCCTCTTCCAATACACACAAATGCTAGAATCATTGAAACTCAAAGGCAACCCTTCAATCAAATGAACTTGTAGAGAAAAACTACAATCAAACTTCCTATTGCGGGTGAATGAAAGGGCCTTGAATCCCTTCCAATTCCATATAGACTTCTTATCCTTGCGCAAGTCATCTTCTTTACTGGCTTTAGGCTTTGATTTGGGATCAGGTGACCGGGCTTTCTCGGTGGATTTTGATCCAGATTTTTTCCCTGTTGATGTTGAATTCCTGGAATAGCTTTTTTCCATGTAGAGATCTTTGCTTATAGCTTCAACATCTTTTAATAACAACTTGGTCTCCTCTTCACCACTCTTTTTACCACCTTCCCCTTTGGACAACATCATTTTTTGTCCAGAAACCAAAAATGTTCAAATTAAACAAAACACAACCCGGAATTCAAAATGAAGAATAAATAAATAAACCCATTCATCTTATAGCAGATTAATAAATTCTGTAGCAGGAAAGGGAAAAAGTAAATTATAGGTGTTTAGATTGATTACCAGTGGCGGTGGAAAGGATCGAAAACATCAGAAGAGAAATTCAAAATTCAAGCTTTGGTGACCCAAAAATAAAAATCCAATTTTGACTTAAAAAAAGAAAGAAAGAGAAAAGAAAAGGAAACGACAGGAAGGGTTGTGAGCAGAGCCTTGTTATCTTCTTCTTCTTCTTCCTTCGTTCCTTCCTTTCCCCACACACAATCTCTGAATTGCCCTGCCTCTTTCAAAACGGAATAAAAGTATAAAATATTAAGGGGGCCAAGGCCAAGCTTTTTATTTTCAGTGTATGTTATCATCTATTCTATTCTTATATTTTCATGCTATTAACTGTTTCTTTCTACTTTCTATTTATGCATGTGAATCTGTGATGCTGTATCCATTTCACATTTCCTTTCGCTTTTGCCCTTTCCAACAGACACGAATTCAAATTCAAGTCTTCTGTCCGTTGGTGTTTTTTTAAATTATCAGCATTTTTTTAAAAAAAAAACAAATACAACTTTTAGTGCCTCTAGCAAGGTGTTTTGATTTCCACCTCTAGGCAAATTGTCCATTTCTCAAATAATCATATTTTATAATCTTTATTATCCATGCGATGTCTCTTTTACCCATTTGGGGATTTTAATGGATTAATTTTCCTAAACGGTATCAGAAGAATTTTATTTTTCAATGCGGGGTTTTTGAGTTTCGCATCCTAGCCCACGAGATATTACCACCGAATTTGGTGCACTCTTTTTTTTGAATATCGAATTTGGTGCACTCTTTTGTTAAAAAGGGATTTATTTTTTTTACCCATATTTTTTATATATATTTTTTAAAATTCTAATTTATTTTTTACCTTTAGGACGCGTTTGGTTCAAGGTTTCTGATCAGATACCCACGCATCATTTATTGGCTTTACAAGAAGGAAAAAGATATCGTGACACCCAAGTTATGTTACACCCATGTGACACCCAATCAATCTCACCGTTAGATCGTTTAGGTTGATCCAACGGTTATATTTATTTCCATCTTTGTATGGTCATGATTTCCCAAATTTAAAGTGAAAGCATTAAATATGGGAAATCATAACTATACAAAGGTAGACATAAATATAAAATATTAAATTTGGGAAATCATGACCATACAAAGATGGAAATAAATATAACCGTTGGATCAATCTAAGCGATCTAACGGTGAGATTGACTGGGTGTCACATGGGTGTAACATAACTTGGGTGTCACAATATCCTATCCCTTACAAGAATACAACGTTTGGTTCAGAGTTTTTAAAAATTTATCAAGCAAACTGAGTTGCCCATCTTTTGTCGATTCTTTGAAAAAACGAACGAAAAACCCATAGGACAAATGCCACTCTCCACGTGGTATTGTTTAGATAACTGGCTAAATGGATAGAAGTAGATAACTGGCTAAATGGATAGAAGAAAACAAGTATGTGACTGAAATACCTTTTTTTATCTTAACCTCAGACACACAGAGATATCATACGCAAATTAGAGACCGTGATGTTAGCCTTCAATTGAAGTAAAATCTCCTTCTCAGTTGCGGGTGAGACCGTGACAACAGACCAAAGCAAACAAAGAATGGCACACAAAAGAGCATGAGAGAGATGAATTTGATTGTGTCTTCTACAACAAAGAATGGCGTACAATCTCTACTTCTTCTCCTTCCGAGTTCTCCGTCAAGCATCAAAAACAAAGATTCCAAAATGTCATGTGTGGTTGTGTCACTGTGGGTGGCTGTGTGTTTTAATTTTTGATGATTTGTCTTTAGTTGGGCTGAAATGGGTGCACAAAAATCGGAGCTTGAAGTTGTTGGAAATAATACCCTTTAACAATGCAAAATCCAATTTGTTTATGTGAGTTTAAGTTGCTTCAATTAAAAAGGGGTTACAAACGTAATATTATACCATTTTTTCATCAATATTTTTTTTTTTGATAGCTCAAACCAAACATCGACTTTTTAATATTTACCAAATTTTTTCGGTAAATTTTTTTTCCAACCAAATAACATTTTTTATATTTTCTTACCAAACTCACTTTCCAACCATTTTTTTAATAATTACATTTCTTTAGTATTCAAAAAATTTCTCCTCAATCAAACGCTCCCTTATAGGAAAACAGAGAACTGAGTTTGGTACCACACGAAACACTTTTTTATTTTTTAATTGAATTCCAGGAACCCTTAAACCTATGACACTTAGGCGTTTGTTCGAGGAGAAAAAAAAATTATCGGAGAAACTCAATTACTGAAAATATAGTGATAAAGTGAATTTTTTAAGAAAATTAAACAAAAAGTTATTTGATAGATCGAAATATTATCGAAAAAATTTGTGTAAATTTCCTGAATCTATATTTGATTGAATGTAAAATATTATTGGAAAAATGAGATAAATTTATGAAAATAAACCTTGCCTAAATATTAATATTTGAATCTGAATAAGCAACAATAACGTTGCTCGCTTGTCCTCATCTTCTACCAATGTTCTTCCTACCTTCTCCTTATCTCTCTCTTTCTGTCTCGTTCTTCCTACCTTCTACCAATGTTCTTTGCTCGTTCTTTACTCATTGCTTGTTTAAATCTAAATTTGGCACGTTATTTCAACAGGGATATTTGTGTCCTAATTTTTTCTTCCCAAATTTTGGTTTGCTGATATTTTGAATTGGTAATCTTAACTCAATTTTACACATAATATCATATTCCTATGCAAATGAGAACCTTATGCAAAATTTTTACAAACCTCTACTAAACATGATCTTCTTTGAATCCTATGTGAACTTTTTCGGGCAAAAAAATAAAATTCTTCTACCAAACACCACCTTTAGAAACTTAAAACATTAACCAGTGTGTCACAATAAGTTATTGGGTTAAAGCATGCCTATTATAGTATTTAGGAATAAGATATTATCTCTACCTACTTTTTTTATACCTAATTTATCCACTTTTATTCAATACCGTTAAATTAAAATATCAACTATTTTCACTCTTTCTTTCTCCTGTTAAGATTCTAATCTAATAATATTGAGAATGGGTCGGTAGAGTAGGCATGCAAAAATGTACGCATAAATATACCTATATAAAATTATTTTTCTATACAATATTTAATATATTTTAAAAAAATTAAAAAATAAATAAATTGTAACAACTTTTTTAAAATGTGAGTTTTTTTATGATAATTTTTATTATTTTATTTTTAAAAAAATATTAATTTATTTTAAACCAAAGAATATGAATTAGATAAAAAAATTATTAACTAATTTGTACTGATTCCAATTACAATTTTTTTACTGATAAATTTCACTTGTATCCCCACAAATTTCTTCTAGAGATGCACAAAGTTTTGACTTTATTCACTACTTCATTTTATTATTTGAATTTTTAATAAATAAATTTATCAAATTCAAATAGCCCTGAAAAATACTACAGGCTTGCTTGCAACACAATACAAAACAATTAAATTAAATTTCCTATTGATTCCAATTACAATTTTTTGGATGATAAATTTCACTTGTATCCCCACAATTTTCTTCCAGAGATGCACAAAGTTTTAACTTTTATTAACTAATTTGTTTTATTATTTGGATTTTTAATAAATTCTTTATCTAATTCATATTTTTTAGTTTAAAGTTAATTAATGTTTTTTAAAATAAATCAAATATTATCACCGGAAAATTCATATTTTAAAAAATAAATCGTGAGAAATTATTTTTTTAATATTTTTTTATATTATCAAATAGAAAAATAAATCAAGTTATTGTATACTAATTCTATATAGGTATATAATAAATATTATAATAGGCATGCTTTAACCAATAACTTACTATGACTTAGTTGTTAATTTTTCCTGCACTTTGTAAATGAAAACAATAGAGTCAAGTCTTAGTAAGTAATTAAGTAAGAAGTCTTTAATAACATAAATAATTTAAAATGCCCTAATAAAAAACAATCACTATATCATAAATAATTACAATTATTTATATTTGTTTTCCCGGTTCGAAGAAGATTTTAATTTTAAATATTAGGGTGATTTTTTTAGCATTAATATGTTACCCTTAATCAATTTTATTACTTTTCACGTTTAGTCTTATATCTATATTTTAATAAGTAATGTTGCCTTTATCAAATTTTTTAGTAAAAGCATCCTTTAATTTCTTGCGTATATAAGCATCTTCGACTTAAAATGTTTAATAATAGGTAACCTTTTCTATATATAGATCTTAACAAAAAGAGTTTGAAGTTAATTATATAAATATGTTATATGTTATGATTTTGAGTCAAGTCAATCCTATTTTCGTAAGGATTGTGAAAAAAAAAAAAAAAAAAAAAATTCGTCGTATTGTTTAACTGGTCAACTGAGCTTGATCATATTAACTTAAAATTTTGTTAACATTTTGATAAAATTGGCTAAAGATCATATTATTGAGGATTTTATGTTTCATGCATGAAGATGATATAATTATAAGAAAAAAAAGTACAAAATTTGTATGATGAAGCTCTAAAAAATTGTGTGACAAAGCATTAAAAGTTATTTACTTCTAATATTTATGTCAATAATAAAAAATTATGAAGTTGAATATTAACAAATTGATTGGTAATATAATTTTTCATATGTGTAACTTATATTTGGACCTCATTCGAAGATAATTAATAAAATAATCAATAATAAATTACGAGAAGGTTATATATATATATATATATATATATATATATATATATATATATTATTTAATGTCTCTTATGTTGTAAGAGATAAAATTATTTTTTACACTCATAAAAGTGTGTGGAGGCCATTCCCCCCCCCCCCCCCCCCTTTCACATGACGCTATATGGCTTCACATATTTATATAT